TTCATGAAGGTCCTAGCTTTGACTAGAGCTTGGAGGACATCTCAGGCAGGGGATACTCATGCTGAGTTGGGGGCTTCCCTTCAGCCAGAGCACCCATTTCTAAGAGATGAGACAAAGTCCACCCACCTGGGCTCTGTATCCCCTGCAAACCAGACATCTTAATTTTCCAGACCCACTGGCATGCCTACCCCAGCCTGCTTCTAAGTCCTCCAGCCTGCTGGGCTAAGCCCAGTGCCCACCTTTTGCATAGGCTCTGCTTCAGGCAAAACCAGTCAGGCAGCAAATCCTCAGTTCCTAGTGACCTTGGGATGTCTGAAAAGGCATCTTCCAAAGCAGTGAAAGAGAAGATAAAGAGTTCAGGTGTTATCTCTTTTCTTCAAAAGTGTAAACTAGAACATAGGTGAAAGCACAGACATGAAAACGGAGGACTGGTTATTGCCTCTTCTGCTAAATACATCCCAATTTGGAAAGTAGACATCCCTCACGTGAAGTAGTGCAAGTGATTGTTGAACTTCTCCGGGGTCGTGAGATGGAAAGGACTTGCCCATCCCATGAACTTATTCACATGCAGATTGGTAGACAAAGTCATTGTGACATGTGTACTCCATGGCACTTCTGCAGACCACACAGCACTCCGTAAGGCACCAGCTGAGATGTGTGCAAAGCCTCAACCAGGAAGAGCAGTGAATTGTGGGGAAAGTGGCCTTGGCTTGTGGGAGGATTTGCCTCACTGTCTTCCACAGTCAAAATAGTGACAGGAAAAAATCAGCCTAGAATGGTAGTTACAAACTACTCGCCAAAGACCAGGAAGAGCACTTCCTGAAGACCAGCTCCTGTCTGGCTATAGCCAACACATGGATGAACAAGACACAGGCTCTACCTGACAGCTGTTCCCACTCACCACTTAACAGAGTTGGGGGAGGACAGATATATCAGCGGGCCACACAGCAGCCAAGAAGGCAGGCAACATGTTCCTGTCAGTGACCAGTTTGCACCAGGAATGTCTGTGGCTCTATTAAGCAGAGGAAATTATCTGGCCACTGGAGGCTCACAGAATGGGCAGAAAGCTAGGGATCAGAAACACAGGGCTTCTAATAGACCAAGCTTCCAAAACCGGAGCTGAGGCCAAGAAGCAAAAGCAGAAGCAGGCCGGCACTAAGCACATTGACTCTGCTACCATCTGCACCTGGCCTTCCCATCATTCCCTAGCCTAGCATCTTATTTTCAAAATCCGAGACCCAGATAAAGTACCAGACGGTCCCAGTCTAAGACAAATGCCCACCCTCTGGCTGGTCTCTGCACTTTCACTGATGTGATGGAGTCTTCAGTTTCCACCATATTTGACCAGTGATAAGGAACTCTCCCAAAATCCCTGGCAGAACAATAAGGGTCATTGCATTCTGTGAAAGAAATGTGAGTTATCCAAATCAAAATAGAGTCCTTTGTGTGAACGCTAATAAAAATAAAGCTAAGAGGTTAGAAAGAGTCCTTACACATGACTGCCTTAGAAAATCAGAGCCACAATCTTACAAATGCTGCTGCAATCTTACCCAAAAAGTATTTCTACAAGTACATCTGTGCAGATCTGTTCTACCTTGTTATCATTAGTTATTCATTCTTTTGCCCAGACTGTTTCAAAATGTCTGATGTCATCAACCTCATGTTTGCCTTTAAAACTTCCTTCAACCTCGTATGCACTCATAGTTTACTACTGTGTTGCTCTCTTATCCCCCCCAATAAATACTATCATTCTTTTCATTAAGGGCTGTGGAGATGGCTCAGTTAGAAAGTCCATGTCATGTAAATATGAGAGCCTGGGTTCGATCCCTAGAACCAATGTCAAAAAAAAAATTTCAAAACGTGAAGTTGAGCATGTTGGAATCCTACCACTGTAGACGTGGAAATAGGTGGATCCCTGAGGCTTGCCGGCTAGAACCTAGCTTAATCAGTGAACTCCAAGTTAATGAGATACTGTCTCAAAAATCAAGGTGGATGGCTCTTGAGGAATGGCACTGAAGCCTAACCCACACATGTTCCAATATTGGTCATGTGATGAAAACAGAATAGAAATAAAGTGGCAACAAATCTGTACAAGGAGTGGCATTGGGGTGTAGAAAGGCTAGGGACCAGGTCTTTGTGATCCAGAAAAAGGGAAGGACAGTGGCAGCTGTGGACTATATGGCTGTCAATGGTGCCATTAAAGAAAGCAGGATTAGAGGGTCTGCAGTAGCTCTTGTGATACCAGCACCCTGGATGCATTAGACCTGGGATCCATTAGTACTGGCCACCGTAAGACCTGCAGCACAGATGTCTGATGGTGTAGGTAGCTGCTGCTCGTCTGTAGGTAGCATTAGAAAGCCACTGTTTCGTGCATTGCCATTAGCAATCACATCTCGCTGTGGCTGATGTGGTCCAAAGGGAGTCAGCTAAGTGAGAGTAAGTATCTCACAGGAGTTTAGGGAGGGCTAGAAGATCAGCTCAGAAGGCTCTGCAGAGGAACAATGGTCCAGGTCAAGATGCAGTGATGAACTGGTGAAGGTATCCCCACTCCATTGATGGTCAGACACTGACTTGACTTGCACCATCAATACAGGAAGCAGATGGTGCCATAGAAACCACAACTGCCAGTGCACCCAAATGGAATCTATGAGCTCCCTGCTTCTTCCCATTTTCAGTCTCAGAGTCAAGCAGCAGTGACTACATCTGACTGGTGGAATTCAAGTCACATACCAGTGCTCTAGCTCCAAGGAAGTTGGTATTGCCCACTTAGCTTCAAAAGAAGTTGTCGTTATCCAGTCCTCTCATGGGAGGGGGGCTTAGCCTCATGAGGTGGCAACTTACCACAGCAGCATGAACAGTGTCCACCAGACTTACCTAAATGGTCCAGAGCATCCCACTTCCCTTAGCATGAAACTTGACTCCTCCCCATCCCAATAGGGCCCCAAATGGTCTCATCTCCACCCTGTGACCTATTTTCAGAACTGCAATGCCAATTTCTTATCCTTCTGTTCTAAAGGATGAATTCTTTCACCAGCCTGCCAAACCTTCCCTACTACAATTTCCTGTTGTTCATTAACTTGACATTATTGTGACAAGGTGACATTCTCAAATTATAATATCTCAAACATTAGACTTCGGGAAGCATGTTAAAAATCTAGTCACTCTACCATTTTTCTCAGCAGGGTCGTTAACGGCCTTTGTTTCATAACCCTACTACATATTCAGGAGTCCTGAACTCCAGGTAGGACACCAGCAGCATCTTCCCCAAACTGAGAAAAACAGCATCAACAAAAATCATTTTCCATGTTTTAAGACCAGGTGTTGGGGCTGGAGTGATGGCTCAGCAGTTAATAACATTTGCTGCGTTTGCAGAGGATCACACTTTGGTTCCTAGCACCCATGTTGGCAGCTCATGGCCACCTGTAATTCCACCTCCAGGAGATCCAGTGCCTTCTGGCCTCCCCAAGAACCTTCACTCAAGTAGCGCATGCACATGTGTGTGTGTGTGTGTGCGCACACACACACACACACACACACACACACAAACAAACATTTTCTGAAGAAAAAGTCTTGCTATGTAGCCCAGGCTGGCCTTAAACTCCCTTAGTTAGGACTTCCATTGAAGTCTAACAAATGCTGGGACTACAGGAATGTGCCACCATTCCAGGCTGACAAAACATCTTTAAAATCCAGAGAGTACACAGTCACTCCAACTAGATACAGAAAATTAAAAAACAAAAACAAAAACTGTAATTCATCTACAAAAAAGTCCTCATCATACCCTAGGCTGCTTGTTGAAGTGCTTGCCCTTTCATTGAGGATGTCTCAAGGGTGCTAAACTGTGATCCTTTGACACTCCTCTAAGCCCACTCCATCCCCAACTGCCCACCAGGAGTTGAAACACAGCTGGAACATTTAAGAAATTGATTAAACAGAAACATTTAATGAAACCATCGGGGAAAAACAAACAGTACACAAGGGAACACGCCAGAGGCTACAAGTCCCAAGGTTCACTCACCTGGGGGTTCAACAATTACACTGGGGCTCCTGTCATCCATTGTCTCCCTTCTCCAGGGCCCAAGATCTACCTCTGGCAATGCTCATTCACTTTGGAGGACTCCCTCAAGGAGTCACACACTGTGAGGGTGTCACACACTGAAGAGTGGTTCTGCCCTATTACTGGCACAGACCAGTTACAGGACACCAGAAATTACAGTGGAGAACATCCCGTATCAAACAGAGAAAACAGTTATAAGTTTTAACAGAAATCAAACAAAACATGGTGTGCAGGCCTCTACCCACCCCAGTCCATGTCCTTTTGCTCGCCCCAGATCAGTCACAGTCTTAAAGTGATCATCAATCACATCCTTGTCATCTTCCATCCTTCTCAGTGACTCCTTGGACTTGCAGTGTCTGGAGAGGAGCTGCTCAGGTATGAATACACACATCTGCAGAACCAAGCATCAGGCAGCTAGGTTTATGCTGAAAAAGACAAGGAGCTCACAACACGGGTGTGAGGAGCAAGCAAGGGCTTGACTGGTATGGAAGCTCATGCCTATGAGGATGGTTGACCAGGTTGCCAGGACCTCTACCTCACCAGGCTAACATACCTCATGTCTTTGGTTTTAAGACATTCATGTTTTTGCACCAAACCAAGGGACGATGGTGAAGAATGGGAGGGGATAAGGGGAAAGCCAGATGGCTGGGACCCTCGGGATGGCCTCTTTCCCCAAACATCTCCCAGACTAGCACAGCTAGTCAGGCCCCATCCTTTACTCTGGGGTGGATCTAAAGGTAATGCTGCCATGGAGAGGAACATCCCTTCCCACTCCATTTCATGGCAAACACAATCATCTGGATTACTTTGAGGGTGGTGGTGGTCAGGATCACTTGGGGGATGAGGGAGCAGGTTTGAGGCTGGGCAAACCCTTCCCTGGGCTTATGTACCCTACTTCTAGGACTTGGCTGCCTGGAAGAGGGAGTCTCTGGACCCTCTGAGCCTATTTGCCCAAGAAGGATTTGGGGTAACTAGCTTCCCATGCCCCAGCTTCATTTCCTGACTCCTCTTTGAGCCCCTCTGGTATAGGCTCTTCCACTTCCTGCTCTCCTGAATGGACCAAGGTTTCAGGCCCAACTGGACCAGCAGCGGAAGATATATTTTCATCTTCCTGAGTATCAGTGGAGACCTTTGCCTCACTAGAGCCAGGGCCTGCCTTTATGGTACGATCACCATCAGGATCTGCCTCAGTAGCAAGCTCAGAGACAGCAGCAGCTCTGCCAGGGGCTTCACTGGCTGGGGAGGCCTCTCCACCAGCACATGCAGGGTCGACCCCCTCAGCACTGACAAGGGCACCCTGGGCCACATTCAGCTCACCACCACCACCACCACCGCACACTTCCACCCCTTCCTGCATTTGGACCTGCACATTTTCAGTCAGAGCTGCCTCCCATGCTTCAGTCTCCTGAAGGAGACTGAGCTGCTCCAGAAAGCCAGGGGCTCCCCTCTGCATCTCCATCTTTCTCGGGTTGTTGTGCAGCATCTGGTTGGGTTGGGCCTGCATCAGCACCTTCTGGTCCCACAACTGTTCCACCATTGCGGGCTGGATGCCCCCCTTCTCCACAGCCACCTGCAGCAGTCCTTCCAGACGCATCATGTAGTCAAAGAGAGTCTCCTGAGGCTGCTGACAGCAAGTCATGAACTTCAGCCGTGCCGCCATCACCATATCCTGGCCGCGAAATGCCTGTGCCAGTGCAGCCAGGCACTCCTGCGCAGGGGTATCTGGATGCTCTTCCAGAAACCCATAGAGGATATCCAGAGCAGGACCTCCCAAGCTCTCCATCAGCCGTCGCCGCCTCTCCCTCTCGGGTATGTGGCGCCACAGGTACAGCATGTCGTTGGCATGGGTCAGCCAGCTCTCAAAGGCCTCTCCTCCACAGCCAGGCTCTTCCAACCCAGAGAAGGGTCTCAGCTCCTGGTAGGCCATGTTATCCAGGATGGACTGCAGGTCCTGGCTCCACTGCTGGGTCCAGGCTCCTGCTCCATGTGCACCTCCTGCTGTGTCAAAATCCCCTTCCTCACCTGAACCTCCTGCCAAACCCACAGCTCCTCTAACACCTGCAACTCCCATGTCACCTGCAGCTCCCTCATCTGACATTCTTGCATCCCCTACACCTTCCCCCTGTCCTGCTGCTCCTGCACCATCCACAGACCCTTCGACCCCTGCATATCTCTCACCACTTCCAGACCTCTCATCACCCGCAGATCCTTCATCACCTCCTCCTGCCTCTAAAACTCCTCCTTCACCTGCTGCTCCTGCCCAACCCACAGCTCCTAGAACACCTACAATTCCCACGTCACCTCCAGATCCTTCCTCATCTGACATCTTTGCTTCCTCAATAGCCTGTGCGTCAAGTACAACTTCCTCATCTATGTCCTCATCTGACACTCCTGCTTCACCTCCAGCTTCTTCCTCGTCCAGTACTCCTTCCTCCATTTCTCCTTCCTCCGTTTCTCCTCCCTTGGTTTCCCCTTCCTCCTCTGTTGCTCCTTCTTCATCTTCTACTTCCCCATCAGACCCTCTTGCTTCACCTGCTGCTCCCTCCTCACCCATTTCTTCCTCACCTGCTGCTCCTTCGTCCTCACTACTTCCTCCTTCCTCGCCTACAGCTCCTTCCTCTCCTGGTGCTCCTGGCTCATCTACTCCCTCAGCTTCAGCCCCTGCCCCAGCTGCAGCCCCTGCAAAAGCTTGCTCATGGACCTGTGCAGGGAAACTAAATCTCCCCTCAAACTCAGCATCAGGGACCTGAGGCAGAAAGGCCACAGTCCAGGGCTCCCTATTATTTTGAATTTGTTGCGGGATCAAACGTTGACTTAAGTTGTCGGCGAATTCAATCAAAGCGACCTTCGCCCCAATCTCCTTTCTGAAGACCTTGCCAAGCACCCGGTATCTGCCCAGATGCCTGAAGGCACCCCGCACTGCTTGCTGGAATTCTTCTTCCTCACTGTCATCAGGGATGCCCAGGATGAGCACCGAACGTTGGGCATTCACGCCCATCCACCCACACCAGTCCTGCAGGATCGCCATCACATTAGCAGGGGTCTTGGAAGGGAACATGGTGGGACAGGGATGTGAGCTGACTGTAGCAGTCTCCTCTGTGGCCTGTGAGTGCAAAAGAACAAAAAGCACGTTGGTGTCAGGAAATCCAGGTCCCATCATGCTACCTGATAAAAAGTGTGGGGCCATTTGTCTTTGTCCCGTTTTCCTTGATTTTAAGGAAACGTTTGACAAATTAAGTTGATTTACAACATACAGGGCTAATCATACTTTCTAATATTTTATGTGGTGGCAGTTCAAATATGGTGTTTAAGTTCCCGAGCAACTTACCATTTCTAAGTTTTTGTATAAATTTGTACTTAGTATTCCATTACTCATCTTTTTAAAGTCTGTACAGCCTGTCATAGCATTTTCTCTTTCCTTCCTGATAACTAGGGCTTGTTCCTGTCTTCAGGTGTACTGTTTGCCAATTTTGAAACTCTACAAAAAACCCAACATGTGTTTGTATGCCTTTTCTGTCACTGTTTCCCTCTGTTATGTAGATCATTTCTTCATTTTATCTCTTTTAAATTAAATTTACTTTGGGTCCTCTCTAGCCTCTTCAAATAGGCCCTTTGATCACTATCTTATGCCTCTGTTCCTGTTACATCTGTAAAGTTTCTTTAGTATGTGTGCATCTATGCATATGAACACACTCATGCCACCAAGTGGTGTGTGGAGATTGGAGGGCAACTTTCAAGAGTCGGTTCTCTTCCTTCCACCAGGGGATCGAAAGCAGACTGATGGGAGCCTTTACCTGGTGCCCTGTCTCCACAGGCTATCTGTTCTTTTGTAATGTTTGAATCAATACATTTTCTCCTGACCCTGACCCCTTGTCTCCTCCAATGTTGGTAAATTCTAATTTTTATTATTGAAATATTTTTCTAATTATATTTAGCTACAAAATATAGGGCAAATCATACTTTAACACATGAAATTCCAAATATTTAGACACTAGCAGCTGGCAGAGTGGCCCTGAGTTCCAGTCTCAGCACTACAAAAAACAATAGGTATTATCATTAACTTTAGACAGAATTCCACTGTGACAAGAGTACTTAAGTCAATTTTTTTTTTTTAAGTTGAGATGGTGTCTTGGTACGCTGCCCAGGCTAGCTTAGAATTCCTAGGTTCAAGCAATTGTCTTCTCTCAGCTTTTTAAATATATCTGGGACTACAGGCCCGCACCATTGCTGGCAACTTACAAAATTTTAAAAGAAATTTGTAGCACAACGTATGTATGTTTTATGTAGGAGGCTGTACAATGTGCCTTGTTATGAATCTCTGTTTTTTTTCAGGAAGACAAAGCTGTGTCCACTTGCAATTCACATAGCTGGTACCTCCCACAACTGTGATCTGGAACCTTTCCAGTCCCAAACGCTGGGCACCAGCCCATTGGAGAACCACCCCTATCCAAGCATCAGTTCAAGTGGAGCATATGAAGGTCTCTGGTCATCTCATGTATCCCAGGAAGCCTCTGGGACTTCCCTTCACCCTCAGCCATGGAGAGGCTCTTCTCCAGGTGACCCTTCCACATGGCATCTCACACACACACACACACACACACACACACACACACACACACACACACACACACACACACACACAGATTCAGTAGTAAGGTTCCTTAAGGCAGGGAAGTAGTGCGCCCCCAAGTGTTTAGATGTTATAGTTCTGGTCTGGCCTCTCTTCACCAGTAAGCAGTACGACCCCAGGCCCTGCCCCTGCTCCAAGCTCAAAGCCCTTCCTTTCCATACCAGCCCACCCAGAACCAGGGACCTTAGCTTATTGCTCCCAGAATTAGGGCACCTCCTGCTCCAGAGCTCTAACATGACATCAAATTGGCCCTTGCGGTGTGAGATTTTGTCTCAGGTGCAATCTTCAATGCAAAGACCATAGCCTGTCTGGGCCTTCACCTAGCCCCAGTTCTGGCCCTCAACTCATCCCGTCCCTCCACTTCCTACCCCACCTGTACACGCCCCTTCTCGCCCCTCCACTTCTCACCACGCCCCATCTCGCCTCTCGTCTTTCTGTCCAAGCCACGCCTCTGAGCTTCCTGCCATGCCCCTGTAATTCCTGTCACATCCCTTCTCGCCCCACCCATCCATGCCGCATCTCACCCATTTTCTTCCCCCCTTGCCTATTCACGCCCTTTTTTTGCCCCTCCTCTTCCCGTCCCGCCCATCTATGCCTCCTCTTTATCTTCCTGCCCCACTTCTTCCCACCCCTTCTCGTGCAATCCCACCCCTTCTCGTGCGATCCTACCCCTTCTCGTGCAATCCCACCCCTTCTCGTGCGATCCTACCCCTTCTCGTGCGATCCCACCCCTTCTCGTGCGATCCTACCCCTTCTCGTGTGATCCTACCCCTTTCTACTCTGGTACCGTCTCACCCTCCTACCTCCCCTTTGTGGTCCTCCTCACCTCATCTGCTGTCCATTTTGTGGCTGGGGACCATCTTATGCATTGATGTCTACCCACTGTCCTTCCTCCTAAGTAATAAAAATGCTCATCTCTTAGCACGTACTGCGCCACCCCCCGTAGTTTCGCCAACCAAGCACCTTCACTTCCACCATCCAAGCCCACACACCACAGCATGTTCCTCCTCCCCACTTTGAGGACACCTACATTCACACACTCAGACACAAGCTTTTCAGGCCCAAGCCACCAATGCCAGCCTCCAGCCCTACACACTGGTGTTTTGTTCGCCTGACCTCACTACTACTCCCCTTAGGCATTCTTTGCTGGAACATTCTGCCCCCACCCCCACCCCGGGAGCCTGGTACCAGCGGCCACCCACCTCCCCGAAGCCTCTGGCGTCCTCTACCCCACTACGCCTTCCTTGGGACTTCTCCCCACACCAAGGCAGGAAGCTGGTAAGTGGTCCTTCTCAGAGACAAACTAAGGCCTCACGCCAAGGTCTCAAGCCCCACATGCCACCCACAGCCTATCCTACCCCAGCAGTCCCGTTGAGTGCCCAGCCTGGGATCGGGTAGTGACGGTGGGGTCCAGGTCCTGCCAACACCCCTACCTGAGTGGTCACTTTCCCAAACTCGGCGCACAGAAAGTCCGAACTAGCTTCCTCAGCGGAACAGACACAAGTGCGTGGTCTCTCAACACCTCGCAAGCTCCAACAAAACCTTTTCTCCCAGAAACCTCCTGTGCCTCCAGGAGAAACTTCTAGAACTCTCGATGGCAAGTGATTGGATCAAGACTGCTCAGAGGCGGAGCAATGTTAGCAGGCAGCCATATACAATGTCCAGAAGTAACAAGAATGCTCATTGGCCAGTCTTCCAAGATGCCTTCCAATAGGGGCACTCAAGGGAGGAGTGAAGTGTAAAAAAGCTGCTTTATACTGCTGACTTTTGGGATGATCTCTTGAAGCTCTCTTATTGAGAGCAAATACATAAATTTTACGTGCCCTAATTGGTTGTCTTGTCATGATGACCTTTAATCTTACCTAGTATTTTTTTTCCTTTCCTACGATTAATAAAAGCAGGGTATGAATATTGCTTTCAGTTAGTAGAGTCCTCTCACATTTATAAACCCCACGTTTCATCCTCGGTGCTATAAAAAACCTAGGGTGGTGAAACACACCTACTATCCTAGCACTTCGGAACCAGAAACGGGAGGATCAGCACTTTATGGTCATCCCCCTATATAAAGAGTTCTCGAGGCCAGTTTACGATACATAATACAATGCTTCAAAACGCCAAAGAACCAAAGAAGATGTTCGTTGTAGAACATAATAGTACAAGTCTGCAGTTTCAGGTATTCAGGAGTTTGATGGAAAAGGGGAATCAATAGACCTTACCAGCAGAAGACGTGCAAACATGCACAAGGCCCTAGGTTCAATTCTCAGAGTACCAGGGGAGGGAGGAGCCATTCTCTCTTTCTCCTACTTAATAATTTCATTTCCATGCCTGCTGTATAATTCTGCACGTCTTACTATCTCCCAATGGGAACTTTTAATTAAATGCTGTAGAGAGCAAACGTCTATTTTTTTTTATCCAAACTGAATCTCTTCCTTTTAATTAGTAGCTCAGTGGTGAAACAAATTGTGTTATGTGCATAACATCCTGATCTCCATCACCAGGACCACAAAAACAACGCTTTTACAATTTTTTGTGTCATTTTATATGGTTGGATTTGAGTGTTAAGTATCCTTTTACTGTCTGTCCCATCTATATGTCTGGGATAATAAAATTTTTAGAATTTCATTTTCATTTTCTTCTTTATTTTGCTATGTAATTGGATTCTGTTGTTTTTGGTGGTTGCTGTGGAGATAACGAAATATGATTTCTTTTCCACTGTCTGCTGACGAAATATTGTGCCTCAGGACAAAAACTGAGACCCTTTCAACCATCCTAACTCCAGTTCGAGGTCTTGGATAGATTTCCTTAGTTTGCACATCTGCTTGTTTGAGTCTTCTACATGGTCATTAATTCATCTTAAAAGTAAGACTCTTAATAGGTTTTATTTATGTGGTTAGTCGGTTGCTTGCTTGCTTTTTACAAAACACTCTTGCAGGGCTGGAGAGATGGCTTAGTGGTTAAGAACACTTGCTGTTCTTCAAGAGGTCTGCGGTTTGGTTCCCAGCGCCCAATCATAGCTAACAACCATCTGTAACTCCAGTTCCAAGGAATTTAACACCCTCTTTTGGCCTCTGCAGGATATTGCATGCACATGGTGCACTTACATACATGCAAGCAAAACACTCAAAATAAAAATAATAAAGTATTTTTAACTTAAAAAAATGAAACAGTCTTACTTTGAAACCCTGCCTGGCCTGGAACTGACTATGTAACCTAGGCTGCCCATAAACTTTCAGGTATCCTCTCCTGCCTCTGCCTCTGAAGTGTTGGGATTAGATGTGTATGCTGCCATGTCCAGCTCTGACTTGAGTTTAACAAGATCACTTGGGCCTGGACAGTTGGCCAGAGCCCACTAACTGGCCCTTGGCTTCAAGTATTATCTCTTCTAAGCCACTTATTCA